TACGCACTACCTCCCAGCCCATCTACACCAGATGGGACTGATAGTCTTCGGGAATCGTGCCAGTCCAGTCATTCCCATTCTCCTCTACATGCTCGGTAAATTGGTCGCCTTCTCGCGAATGTGACTTGAACGTGGCCTTGATGTGGTCAGGTCAGCTTCCCCCCCTCTACGCTTCTTGCCTCGCGATTACGATTTGTATCTCTTCTGGACATACGAAAGAGGTGTTTGATAAGGTGAGTTTGTCATTCTTCTACTCAACAGATCTTTTATGAGTTGAAGGGTAGCCAACCAAGTAGCCTTATAAAATCGAATCATTTGTGGATGGGAGACTTCTCACTCAAAAACCGCTGTTTTATACCTTTATCATCTGCCAGAAGGGGTTTGGTGGCTTTTAAAAATAGCTCTTCTGCATTTGGGAAGACAAACAATTCATACTGATAGTTACACTCAAGCAAGGAAGTAGTTCAAGAGTCCTGAGCATCTATGATACGACAAATGTGGCCGAGAATGGGCATAAGTGTGAAGGAGAGGAAAAATCAGAGCGCACTGCCACTGAATAAAATAGGATTTTTGTGTTTAAAGAGACTAGATGGCACAAAATAAGTATGCTTAATGCAGTGGATGAAAGTAATTGGGATCCTCCTACAAACACACCTTTCTGTGCCTCTTGTGGTGTGTAGACCCATAGGCGAGTCGTTACTAAAAGCAGGCGTAATCCTACTCTCTCACAAACAAACACAGCAAGCTGTTTCCTCCGCACGTGCTTGTATATGCCAATGGCATAGCATTAATTCCATTGTTCTCACAAAATGAGAAATATTGCTAGCTGGTAGCAATAAATTGTCGGTCGGCATTGAGTTAGTTTAATCCATGCTAGATAAATGAAGGTGCTTTAGGGTACACTGCTGCTACTACAAATGTGCTTCGATGCTGACAAAGATGGCATTTGTGTCTAAAATTTGCCTTCTTACGCCTTCTGATCGTAAAGTTGAACTGTTGGGGTTAGTTTGTATTGGAAAGCGGGAATTCAAAGATAGGTGAGTGGAAAGGGTAAAGAGGGAACCGTTATATAAAACTAAAGAAACGCGGAGCCTTCTGGCTGAGAAAAGAGAATAAGGGCAGCAACAATTTCATAAAAGTCATATTCTACCTTCATTCAGCATCGCCTTAAGCTCACTGACCACACACGGTGGAAGTTTTCAGCCCTGGACTGCTGCGGGAATTCGGAACACCGAATAATATTATTTGCCCCCGATGTCATAGGCAGAATGAGGAAGAATCCAAACTAAAAAGACCAAATTTGATGCTATTCTTCCGCATTCAGGGTTGAGATTAGTCCCCTCTTGATGATTAGTCAACCATCAGCCTAAGTGTTTCAAACAACATGACCAAAAAGGTCTGAATTATGCTGTTGGTACTGAATCACCATTTCTATAAAGGCGGGACCAGCACATGAATCACCAAAGCTGATCCAACGAAAGCCTAAATTTCTTTACAACTTGTACAGACTTGCATACGTGTAAGTAATCTCTTGAATTAAATCACATTAAATGAAGAACCGTGGTGCACTTTGAGCGGCGGCTGTTTTCCTTATTTTTAGGCTCTTTGAGTGATTGCAGAGGTGACAGACGAGCTGCATCTGCGTTGGAGCAGGCTGCCTCAACCCCACTTGACCAAAGTCTACATCCACGGAAATATGAATGGTGTGGAGAAGAACAAAGTATCTGAGCTCAGTCTGCCTAATAACCATCAGACGAGTGAAAATGGCAATGACGTGCGGTGTCGTGGGCGGAAGTCCTGAGTGGAATAGACCACCTCCTAATGCCATCACAATTGGCTACAAAAAAAGTGCTGATGAAGACGTACTTTTGACAGAGATAAGAAATGTGCTATGCTGTTCACACCAACGCTGTGCGTCTCCTGTTGATGCAAGTTTTAAGCAACAGAGATGCGAATTAGGTTATTTAAATGTTGGCATCCACGAGTACAAAAAAGAGGAGAGTTAGGTGATTTATATGATTATATGTAGCAACTTGGTCTTACTTCAACTGTGCATTGAACCAGGCAGTTCTTTCATTGGTTTCCATCCCTATTTAAGTACCGACGGTAGGATTTTCCTGCCATGTCTACAGCCTTTGACAACTCCAGAGGAGACCTGTGGAGCGCTACACAGGTGACAGTAGCAGATGGAGCCGAAGATAATAAGAGCTATACACCAAAATTGAACTTGGTGGCAGTGTGGCGTCTAACATAGTTGCCTAGATCGGTGGGAATGGACAAAGCCATACCATTTTGTGGCTTTACAGGAAGACCTTTAAAGGTGAGGCGACAATAAAAATAAAAGATTGAAAAAATTGTGTTCCTTTCATACCCTTAGATGCAGAAAGGAGCCCATTGCAATGGCTTGGCAACACCGAGGTGAGGATAAATTAACAAGGGGAATAATTGCAGAATATTAGCTTTGTGAAGGCACTTTAAGTGCTCTCATATTAAGTGACCGCTTTTAGGCGGCTGCCCTCACAAACAGTGACTGTCAAATAGGAGGCGCTCATCATTGTGTTTAGTCTTGATAAAATCTAATCCACTACAACCCTTGCCAAAGTAGTGCTCAAAAGAGTCTATTTGCTCAGAGATAAGAGAATCGACGAGATAAAGGTGATTTGAGGGTGATATTTTTTCCCTTCGAAAAGTGACCATTAGATTTGAAGCAGGTAATTATATAACGTCCCGAGACTTCCCTGAAGACCAAATAAGACATAACACTTGGGCAGAATACATTTTAGGCACAGACAAATTATTTAGGCTACTCTATGGCCTAAAGCCCAGCCCACCAGAGGTGGTATAAAGGCTAAGTCAAAAATGACTCCTTGAAAATACCGAGAGCTGAGCAACCATTGTATTACGATCACATTTAAGTCTAATGATGATACATACATGGCATGTTAGAGCAAAATAAACCCAGTCGGTTAACATATGACTTACTTTCCGCAAAAATAAAAATCATGTTTGCTGTTAGCGTTAATTTACTGGTTTAATGCCTTCTCTGATTATAATATACGAAATTTGCCGAAATGTAATTAAGCATCATGCAGTTGACTAAACTCACTACGCGTTCTCTGTACATGCAAAATGCATATACACTTTCAAAAATAGCATTTTTGTTGGAAATGAAAAGTCTTGCTTGCAAATAAACTCACTATAATACTAGTATCAGAACAATCATTTGTTTGTAAAACCTAAAAGTAAGTTTGGCCTTGTCGCGTTCTTAAATTGGCTTGCGGTAGTTCGACATTGTGGGCTTGAGGCATACTATGACAAGACGTGGAGGCAGCTTGCAAAGGTTAAATGCTGTCGGGTATCAAATAAAACAAAAAGGAATTGAGATTTAACGTGTGGGTAAAGATTGTTGAAGTTTAATTGATGCACGATCCAAGTGGGAGTGAAATGAGAGCAACGAGAACATTATGAAAAAGCAAATGGTCTCCCAAATGTTAAGGGTCACAAAACGACAAGAGGGAAAAAGAAGGAGATATTTAGGTCTGGCTGAGGATAAGTTCGGTCATACTTGGAATAAAAGGCAAAAAGGAAAAAAGGCTAAAAGTTGGTATTACTGCGAATGGCATTACATAAACGCAACCACCTTGTCTCACTCCACGCCGCGTCAAGTTGCAGCAAAACATGCGTTGCTGCAAATAATTTACCAGTCTTAACCTTTGTTTCTATTCGGGTCCATTCTGTTCTTCTCCCTGTCTCTGTAAAATAGACAGAGGCTCTTCCATCAAAACCACAGTCGGCCCGTCTACCGGACGGTCGATGGAGAGGTCTTTGCTATTTACACCTGCCTTGTGATTGCATTCATAGTCGCATAATCAAGGCCTTGTCTGTCAACTACCAACGGCCATCTGCTAGGTGACATATGTGTTTGTAGAATAAACAGCATGATAACACGCGTATTGCTGCCAGAGGCGCACCGCACTCGCCTTCAGAACAACAGCCAGCCATGTAGACACGAGGGCGCGCGGAGAGTGCCAATGTGATATAATGTGTAGGACAATGAATGAATTCATTGGACTGGCAGTTGGGGCTGGGCTAGCTGACTGTTTGAGTGTCAGGAATTCTAAATGCTGGACTATCAGGTAAAATTTACTTTATTGTGCATTTCTTTGGTCATCTACATAACTCCTTGCTTCCTCCATGCTCTGTTGTGCCTTTTTGCACCATTACTCATTAAACTTAGTCATGCCACTTACTAACACCCACATCTGTCTTCATCTTTATATCTGTCCCTCCAAATCCTCTTTCTTTTCTACTTCTCCACTTCTATGTCCTACTTTTGCCCCTATTCCACACACGCAGTCACAAGCACAAATATACATGCACCATTCAGTAATGTGGCTTGCAATCCGTTGAACCTTTATTCAATTCATTTTTATTTTCATTCATTTTTATGATCAAATGGCATTCTAATTATTAAATCACAAGGTCACTATCACCCCACTTTACGCTACGCACAAGTATACTAGTACGCCCGCAGTTGGTAGATTTCATGTGAAACAAAGATTACCTATACTTCAAAGCATTAAATAAATTTGAAGCAAGAATCAGTGGTCACTTAGCATTAAGTTTATCCAAAAGTGAACCGAAGTGAGTTGGCGTCATGGACATATATGTCGCCTGTTTTGAACAGTCCAAATGTTATAATGGAAGTGGATATCGTGCCGTGTGTGCCTTATCTCAATGAAGCCCCAAAGATTTCTCAGAATACCGAAGGGTAATGATGAGGTGAGACATAACGTGATGATATAATATTTGGTGTTATGTGTGTAGGGATCTTGTTGATCTTGTGGGCTCTATTGTGAGTAAGAGATAACGTGGGGTTCTTGAGTGGATGCCAAGTGACAAGTGGATGGCCTTATGCTAAACGATGAAGGGGGACAATAAAAGAAGAAGGTGATAATAGCAAAGGGGTCAGTGGTAGCAACGAGGTCGGCGAGTGTTTTGTATGACAGTTGGAAGAGAGGAGCATTCTAAAAGAAGGGCTCACCACATTGAGAAATAGAAGAATGTGTGAGCGAGTG